TATTCTCAAATCTAGTTGGATGTTTGAAAATGCCTAACAAATTTGTTGGCTATAATTTCCTCTCTCTTATTGCTTAATAAAACGATTCATGTAGCTCTTTCAGTCACCCTGATTCTTGTTTAGTATCTGATGGTGGTTTTGCTTATCAGACAGGCCCCACTGTATACTGTAGTAGAACTGTCTTTGAGGATGCAACTCACGAGTTGGTCAGAGATTTCTTCTGGGATGATGAGTTTCGACCAAAATGGGATCCAATGCTTACATATTGTAAGATATTGGAGGAATGCCCTCAGACTGGAACTATGATTGTTCACTGGATTAAAAAGGTTTGTGGAACAAAGGGTTTAGGCAATTGTATGCTGATTCCATGCTTTCCTTGCATCTCTTTCTAGTTGAAAATATGAATGATTGTTTTCCACATTGTTTCTCTGCGATGCAGTTCCCTTTTTTCTGCAGTGATCGGGAATATTTAATTGGTCGAAGAATATGGGAGGCTGGAAAAACTTATTATTGTGTGACAAAGGTACTTGTTAAAGCATATCCTCATTGTTGCTTGCATTATAGCTTTCTTTCATCAATTGCTTCTTTTACTTAGTGAGTGAGGACATTGTGTTGATCTTGTAAAAACAGGGATGGAGATCCGTAATGGCGTGCAATTCCATATTTTTCACCTTAGAGAAAAGAAAAAAAACCAGGGTCATTGTGTTTCTGATATGAGTCAAACATAGGATAGATCTGAGACGTGTTGGATTGAATCTAATTGATCATCAGAAAAGCTAATCCAGTGTAACTGAAAAGAAAGTGGTTTGATTTGATCGGCACACATTGTCGAAGGAGTACAAGAATGGGTCAGGCAGGTTTACTTGAGTTAGATTTGAAAGTCGGAGAACAAAACAAAACCATGAAACCTGGAAGTCAAGACATGATTTTTTTCTTTCTTTCTTCTGTAGTAAAATTTTTCTCATCTCAACATGCTGTGCATTTGATTTATTCTGTCCATATTAAGAGAGCATCATGTCTACTATATTTTTCAGATAAAACGTGTAACTAGGTTTAATTCATATGTTTGTGAGTCTTATTGTGTGAGCTACAAAATTGCAGGGTGTTCCATATCCAGGTTTGCCTAAGCGTGACAAGCCCAGACGTGTGGAACATTATTTCTCTAGTTGGATTATCAAGGCTGGTAAGAATTGTCGGTTAACAATCTGATTTTGCAGCAAGAAGTTGGTCAATCTTGGCGACAATGTAATGGTTTATACTCATTTGCTGTATTTGAAAAATAAATGCAGTTGAGTCTCGGAAGGGGGATGGACAGTTATCTGCATGTGAGGTTACCCTCGTACACTATGAAGACATGGGGATCCCAAAAGATGTGGCAAAGTTGGGTGTCCGTCATGGGATGTGGTGCACTGTCAAGAAATTACACTCTGGTATGAGAGCATACCAGAATGCGAGGAAATCAGAGGCATCTCCATCTAAATGTGCTCTGATGGCTAGAATCACCACTAAGGTATCCTCTGATGGAAGCATGAATTATTTGGAGCCAGCATCTGGTGAAGAAGAAAAAGGTCAAACCATAAAAAATACAAGACAAAATGACAATGGCATTGATTGGAAATGGATAGTTATAGGTGGAACTGTGGCTCTGGTATGCGGACTTCACACAGGTGCGATTGGGAAAGGATTGTTACTTGGAGTGGGGCAGAGATTTGCCCGAAGGAGATGAGAGTACCGTGCGAAGAGTGTCATTCTAGTCAATTTCAGACATAAGCTGTCTTGTCTTTCTATCTGCTTTCATATTCTTGGATTCTATTTCCAAATCTTCACATCAATTGTTACAAATTAAGATAAGTTATATGGGTAAAGGTTTGTATTGGCTTCAAACCTTCAACATAATATGTCTATGCATTTGTCTATTCTGGAATTTTATTTTGCGTATATCGCCAAATTTTTCAAGCTAAGAGGAATTATATGGGTGAAGCTCTGTATGTTCGGGTATTATAAGTTACAAATACATGACATATTAAAACACTTCAACATGTTAATGGTTTATTATCTTTATAAAAAAAACACATGTTAATGGCCAGAATCAACAAAAACTATCATGGATCAGGAGATTCTGGACAAGGTTGAGAAATTTGTATTTGGGCTACAACTTATAATTACTGGACTAAGCTTGGGGTTCATTTCTAGCCTCAACCTCACCATCCCAAGTCGACCAAAATTTCTTCCTACCTCCAGTAGACCAGAGTAATTTGCTGCGCACCTCCGAAATAACTAGAGATTTTGCGCCATGACCGTAAAGCCGTTACATAGTGTTATAATCTATTTATATTATAATATGCTTAATAAATAATATTATATGACAGTATTACGGTCACACTCTTCATCAATTCAATCTCATCATCATAAAACATGCACCCAAATCCACATTTTGCGATCACACAAGATAACTTTCGATCTGTTCTACTTCTAAGCATTTAATATGCATGTTCAAATTACGTTAATATGTCACTTATCGCAAATAGATTTTCTACCTAATCAATAGTGAGTTTGATAGCCTCAACTCTCAGCCTGTCAAGCACTTTTTAAAGTTATAACTAATAGATCCAAAAATTTCCCATTGCACTGGCAGCTGGAACAGAATCACGACCATTGATTTCATCTTTCTCCTATGATTGCTCCTCCCATTTAGTCTCACTGTCACTGCCAGTCGTGATAAACCCTAATCTTATCAATGCCTTTTATGACGAAAGAAACTAGTATTTGTGGATTATTCTACAACATGCCCTCATGTACTGTCCCAATGGATGGAGAGGCTTGAAAGAGACCAATCCCACCTTTCTGAAACGTTATAAAAGCACTAGCGATGTCGAAGGGTCCATACCCTCGGCTGGTGGTTGAGATAGGGCCATGGATGTTAACCCTAATATTAAATTGAAATGAATTTATGGTGTGTTTACTAATTAGGAATTAGAATTCTCATCAGGAATTGAATTCTACCTATGAAGGATTTCTGTCATCTACTTTAACCCAACAACGAGGTCATTTTAGTTATTAGTACCACTCCTCCTACTCCAATTCCATATGATTTAGTAAACAAATTCAATAAGAATCCAGAATCTAACTCCTCTCAATCCATACTTCGATAGGAATCTGGAATCTAATTCTCTTCAATCCAACTCCTCCTTAATTCAATTCATCCTCAATTCAATTCCTCTTAATCCAATTACGGATTAGTAAACATATCATTGACAATAATTATATATATATATACACACACACACCATTGTAGGGTCCACTCGTATTGTATTTCAATAATTTGAACCATCTATATTTTAGGTATTCATTTAAATATCTTCTCTGCGAAAAAATAACTTGAATTCAAAATCTTTTGACCATTCAATTCATAATGTCATTTTAGTGCTTTCTTAAAACGTTACGTTCGTCTATTTTATGATCACAATTAGATGCCTTAAAAAATAAATGATTTAGATCGCTATTTATTTATTTATTTATTTATTTTTGTGTTAGAGTATAGAGAAAAATGAGAGTGAGAATGGAAGTGAGGATGAGATTGAGAGAGAAGATGAGAGGGATGAGTAACTAATGTGAAAACAAAAACTTGAAAGTGAAAACAATTTCAAATGAATTTCAGTTTTCAGTTTTTGTTTTCACTTTTGTTACTCTAGCACAAAAAAAAAAATCTAAAAACTAAAATTGAAATGATTATCAAATGGACCCTTAATTTTTTTTTTAAAATTTTTATAGCAAGAATTGGTTCAAGTTTAACCTACTAATTGCATGTTAGGATTAATCATACTGGGGAGTCCATGTCAAAAGCCACTGCCTTCCATAATTGTAGAGTTTATGGTGACCATAATGTTAGGCCATCTTCAGTCATAGACGACGTCATCTATGACGTCAGCATTTTTAATGTTGGGCGTTGGATATGCATTTACATGAGATGATTCATACTCTTACTCGCACTTGATAATTTATCTTTTTCAAAAGTACATGTATGGGACCCATAAAAAAATTGGCATAGGCCAAAGCTGGGGTACATGTGGCATCGTTGGAGGGCTAAAGGGCCAAAGGGCCATAGATTTTGGATTATTTTAAGGCTATATTTGGAATATAGCCCATGACTAAAGATGACCTTAGGTTGTATCATTTTCATTTTTATCCTAAAGGTGGGCCTTGAATAACAGTTGGCAGCCTCATTCTTGTAGAGTTAAAGAACTTCTGTCCTCTTCTGCTGTACAATGGAAGATTGGTTTACCTCCATCTATCAGTTTTTTTTAGTATAAAAGATACTCACAAATTACCAATTATAGATGCCACCGCAAGTATAATCAAGTGCTGTAAAAATTTCAAATGCATGTAATGTTCTGGTCATGGTTCGTAATTAAATACCTAAAGAATTAAGAATTAGATTGATTATTTGATCTCGTAGCCATGCCATGTCTCCTATCTTTCTTAGTTATTTGGTTTTAGGAAGTTTTGACACCACGAAAAGCCGTAAATAAAAAAAAAATAAAAAAAAATCTACTTGGTGGATATTTGCTATTAGCGGCTAAGCGACACATCTAATGACATAATAAAGTTTCTGATTTAGAAGTGAAAACAGAAAAGGGCAAAATGAAATCGACTCCCGTTTGTCCTTTGTCTCTTAAGTCAGTAAAGCGGCATCTACATTGCATGCACTGCCAACAAACATGGACATCTCTCTTCTCTTGTACCAAAAATTTTCAGAACCCAACTCCACTTTTTTATTTCATTTGTAAATTCTTACCATTTTTAGTGGACTTCCTTTGTAAATGTGGACTGTATATGCCTTTACAAGTAATGCCGCTTTTACTGAAGCTGGACAGATATAATGACTCTTCCAGAAGTGTCGTTGGCATGCAGTGGGTCCACGTGGCAGCCCCTGAACCTCATCCCTCAGAATCTAAGCAAAAGGTTAGAGCTTCCTGTAACTCTCTGCTTCAAGGACGCATGGCAGGCATTCTTTTGCTTCAACTGCAACCCCTTCTCTGCCTCTTTCTCTGTTTCCTTCTCCATCTGTTTTAATACTCAAACACACACTCTCTCTCTCTCTCTGGCATATTTGAGAAGAATTTATGGATTCAAGGGACAACAGGTACACGGGTCTTCACTATAAATGCTTTTTCTATTTTGGGTTTTTCTCAATTGTTGTTTTGGTGCTACTTCAATTCTCCAACCCCATGTTATTGTCTTGCAAATTTCTGATCACATATGTAATTCGAACTTGGTTTTGTTTTGGTTAATAAATTCGTGTTGATTTTGTATAAGTTAACAAAAGAAAGGTTGAGAGTACCATTTGAACACACTGTTGTAACTTGTAAGCACATGCAAATGGGAAAGAATCGTCTTGTGGAGTTTTGTCATGAAGAATCAAGAAGTCAGTTCAACTCATATTAAAATTTCATGTTGTTTTCAAAGTTTATCTCAAGCTTCTGTTATATTTTCAGATAATATGACCTCAGAATAATTGCATCTGGGATATAGAGTGTATTTTCTTTTTTGGCTTAAAATTATAATCTTGCGAGTGCAACCGCTATGCCATTGATATTTCGTTGTGGCTGATTAAAATGAACTGGTTTTTTCTGGCATAGAAAAGGACTAACCTTCAGTCCATTTATGACCTTTGGAAACCCACCCTTATTATTATTAGCTATTGTCAAGATATGAAGACCATTACTTTTGTTTCCCCTAGCAAAAAGAACGGAAAATAGTTGTGATGAAGAACCCGAAACTTAATATATATCGCAGATTCTTTTATCAGGGCTAGTGTCATACAGAATCATATATAAGAAGAGGTCAACTTTGTGAGCAGTGTTTTCATGCTCTTTGGTTTGTTCTTACAGAAAGATCTTCAGCAGTGTGCAATTTTAGTTTCTGCACTTGTTTGGGTCAGAGGGAACTGGATACTTAGATATGCCAATCCCTTTCTGCGAAACAACTTCTCGGAGTAATTCTCAACTCTTGAACAAAAATTTATCATGGTGTGTTTTCAAATTTGCCTTGTGTGCTTTCCATTGTTCTTACCTTCTCAGTAATAAATTTGTTAGCTTTACATGCATGTTGGTCCATTCCCTAACAGTTTAAGCTTGGGGTTCAATGGTTGTCTAACTTTGTATTAAAGTTATGGTTTGCAGGAGTTCTTGGGTTCAAAATCTCCAATCCTTATTCCCCACTTCTTTGTTGGTTTGCAAGGTGCAGGGTGGGGCTGCACCTATAGGTCTCTCTGCCTCTCCACGTGTAGGATAAGGCTACACGTGGGGGAGGGTGTTAGCTTGATATACAATGTTGGCCAATTCCATAACAGCTTAAGCTTTTCGGATTCAATTTTTGTCGAACAATATTTTTTCTTTCATTTCTTCGTCAATTATATCTTTTAATTCAACAATAGAAGCATTTAATCAAATTCCTAAAAAAAACACCATATATGAATAAATTTTGAAACCTAATTAAATATTTTATTAATATCACAGGTAATAGAATTCTATGGCTTTCAACTGCCAATCCCTCTGATTTGCGGTTAAGAATCCTCATTGCTGAGACAGATTGATGTGTAGGTTACATCTATCTCATACAGGTGTCAGAAAGGTTGCATGTGCTTCAAGCAATACATGTTTAATTGTCAAAACTACCTTCTCTTCACAAAGGCAAGGATTTATAGTTCATAATGTGGCTGATGGCGGGACTTGTGATGTACTAATGTTTTATCCCCCTTTTGTTCTGTGAGAAAAGGATAGTTACTATCTAGCTATAAGGTGCCTCATTTCCGTAGGGGATTACGTTTTCTTACATATTTATAGGAGTGCTTTTAAATGTTGTGCCCATGATTTTCAAACTAGAATTTTAAGGGGTGGTTCATCACATATCTTTTATTGTAAGCCGGGAACTTGAATGAAAACTGATAATTATAGTCTTGTAGTCATAGTTTGCATGTTTAGCATGATGAAAAGAGACTAACTAGGTTCCCTTTGGAGTTTCAGGATAGCTTACAATGGAGTTAATCAAGCTAAAAATGGAAGTGGACAATGAGAACATAGAACCTGGGACTGATTTAGGACTTGCTCTGGGATATTCGAATCAGTGCATTCAGAGAATATTGCACAGTGATTCAGGTGCAGGTGCAAATGCAGGTTCAACGATACACATGACATTTGTGGCCGCTGAGCCCCTGTCAGAATTAGTTTGGTCTAAAGACAAAGGTATGAGTCTGAAATGAGCTGATTTCAGCTTTTCCAATAAAAAAAAAATCTTACTTTTCTAGGATGCAGGTCCAAGCAATGTCACTCTTTCACCACCACAAAGCAATACAGGCGGGAGGTCTTCTACTGACAAGCCTATTGATGAAGATAATTTTGTAACACCACAAACGTCATCGCATTTAAAGAGTGAAGCTGCCTGTAAAGATATGACGATGTCTCCCACAAGCGATGCTGGCATCATGCCTGCATGTGGGTCGAGTCGTGAACATGAGACGGGTAAGGATAGTTCTGTTAGGCATATTAAGTCCTATGTATTCGGGAGTTCAGTAGGCCTAACTTTCTTAAGCATAAGAAGGTTTGTTGAGTTCACTTTCTTAAGCATAAGAAGATTTGTTGAGTTGTAGAACGATAAATTTGTAGTAGGATTTTCTTATGTTTCTTGTTTGTTTATTTATTTCCTGGGAAATTGTTGCCAGAATTATTGAGGAACCCTCCTTGCAGGAACTGGTGGTAATGTGGAGGACGTTAAAGCAGCAGTGGAAGTATCTGTTCCATATAATCAGGAGGGAATTTGCACTCCAGTCAATTTCCAAGTAGATGAAATACCTGAGACCAGAGAAAAAGATTTTCCAACATTGTCAGGTGCGTCCTGCTATTCTCATTTTCAGTATGGCAAAGTAAATTCGGTAAATGAATTTAGAAAGCTCCAGCAGCTAATGTTCAAATTGCTTTAAAATTGGTTACTTTCACTAGGGGCTCGGGGGAAAAATCAGATCCTGAGCCGTTCTTTCAGTCCATGTTGCCTTGCCTGAAACACAGATTTTTATGTGTTTTACATATAACATGTTATTGATTTGATTATACACCTCCAGGTAATGTTGACAGAGAAGGGGCTGATATCTTGTTAATTGAATCAGATCAAATACTACCTTTTGTGGAACAAAATGAACCATTATTGGGGGATCCTGTTGGTGGAGATAGACATGCTGATGTTGGCAATCAGAAAATGGAAATGGATCTTGTTTCGACCTCTCAAGTTCACCCAGTGAATGAAAGTAAAGCTTCGGGTTCTCCAGTGGAGAATCAAAAGCCCCAAGGCAGAAGGCCTTTGGAAAAAATGGAGGTAACTGCTGAGAATGATTTACAAAATCTCAAAAGTGAACATGCTTATGGTGCAGAGAGTCAGATTTTAGGATTAGAATCTTCCCCAGGGGTTAAAGACAGGTTTGAGCAGGATGTGGAAATGCTTCCTGGAAACAAATCTGTTCTGGTTAAAGACTCTCCAACTAACAGTAAAATCCAAAAATATCGAAGGAAAGGCAAAGAAAAAGCATTATCAGATGGAGATCTTAATGGAAGAATGTCAGAAGATGAGGATGATAGCCATGAGAGTGTTGAGAGCTGTAATTGTACAGGGTTGTTTTCATTAGGAAAGAAGAGATGGAACTTTGAAGACGAGTTCATTGTTGGGAGTAAAAGATTCAGAAAGCAAATTCAAGAAATGCCGGCTTGCATATCCTATATTAGACAAGATAGCTCCTTCATGAATTGGATGTCCAGCATGGTGAAGGGGTATTCAAAATCAATGCAAGATGAGGCACCTTCTCTTGCTCTTACACTTGCACATCCTGATCATGGACATGGGCATTCTGATAAGAAGCTTATCACATGCAACAAGAACCAAAATGCTGGATTAAAAAATATCGGTTTCCAGTCAATTTTTCAGTCCTTGTATTGCCCAAAGGCAGAGCAGCAAGAAGCAAGGATGTTGAATGACAATCATCAAATAGGAGAAATATCAGCAGAACTTGAGTCAAATACCACTCCAAAAGCCTTTCATGGGGAGAAAATTAATTTAAGCAGAAAATCTTCATCTGGAAATGAAGTACGTTCAGCAGCCCGATCTAAGAGTTCATCTGAAAAAGCAGCAGGTATTCAGGAGAAAGGCAACACTAACTCTGCAGAGGAAAAGAATCCATGCAACTTTCGGTTTCATAAAAAGAAAGACAGAGCTAGCTCTAACTCTTCTCTGGGTAAACGCAAGAAAAAGAGTGTAGAGGATGTTGAATCTAGCCCACAAGCTGAAGGGAAGACAACTGATAAATTTGGTCGTAGAACTGCCCTTCTGGAAAGCTTGTGGATAACTCGATTTACTCAAAAAACACCTGCTCCATCATCAATCTTAAATCGTTACATACAGAGTACTGATGGAGTTCTTGAGTGCTCCGATGACCGCAAAAATGTGGGGAACAAGGAGCAGTCTGCTGAAGATTTAGTTATTGTCATTCGTAATGATCCTCAGAATTGTGCAGCTGACAATGAGGGTTCATCTTCTTTCAATAATAAAGGCCAGAATGATCAAAAGTCCATGTCCAAATTCAACCCTATCTTTCCTTCCCCTAAATTCAGAGGTTCGGAAGCAATGGCTTCATCTTTTGCTAGGAGATTGGATGCTCTTAAGCACATCACCCCATCTGGTGCAACAGGTAATGCCGCCTATGGAAACATGACCTGTTTCTTTTGTGGCAGAAAAGGTCACCATTTACGAGAGTGTTCAGAGATAAAAGACACTGAACTTCAGGAATTACTCAGTAAATGCAAGTCCTATATTGGAGCTGAACATTTTCCTTCGTTCTGCATTAGATGTTCTCAATGCAGTCATTGGGCCGTGGCATGTCCTAATGCGCCCTCAATGGGAGAATCTCAATTGGATTGTAATGTTTCTTGTTTAGATTATTACTGCAGTCAGGGTGAAACGAAGCCCAATTCAATAAATGATGTGAAGCTCCTAACTGGTAAGGAGAGTGAATTTCAAGCTTCTATTGCTCATACATTATTTGATGAGGATGACTCAAGAATAGAGGCAGATCTTAATTTGAGCTGGAAGACGAATAAGATGATAGTCTCGAAGAAAATGAGATCTCATCCAAATTCAATTAAGGAATATAGTTCTTCAAGCCCTGGGGAAAATAAGTTAATGCCCTTGTCAAAGTTTGTCGATGCACAGATTTCAGATGTACCGAAAGGAATCTTTGACTCTGTAAGAAGGCTTCGCTTGTCTCGCACAGATGTCGTGAAGTAAGTAGAGCATACAAACTGGCCCCTCAATAGTAAATTATATTTTCTTGTCAAATATTTTTAGAGGATTTTTTCTTGCATATATAATGTAGTTTGTTGAATCACACTTCGTATGAGCTCTGGTAATTGGCATATGCACCTCTTAAGGTTTTGAAAAAATATATGGATTATTTTGGGGCCTTCGGGTTATGAAATTTATTCACCCTAAGATAATTGTGCTCTCAAAATTTTTGGTCATAGAAATTTAACAAGCAGCACGTTTTAGGCAAGCAGATCCTCAATAGAGTTTTTGATCAGTTGACTGGACAAGGCTTCTTCTATCTTGTGTAGATGTAAAATCTTTGAAGGAAACCGACAAGAGGATAGAAGTTTTATTTTTTGGGTAAATACAAAGTAGAAATTTTGGATTGTAGTTGTAAGAATATTGATAGTGAATTACAATTCTACCAAGCAACACTTTAAAGAACTTATAAGATGAGGTGAATTAGTCAATAAACCATTGGATTCTGATGGCATGTTCTTTGAAACTTAGCATGTGAAGAAATTGGGTGGCTCCCTGTATTCACTTACAAGTGGCTGAATTACCTAATTAATAAGACTTGATTCTACCGACTCCAGTAGATATTGTTGTGAACCTTAGAAAAATCTGACCAAGAGTAAATAAATAGAACTCGGTACAACTAAAAGGAACACTTATGCAGCTTTTTCCTTGAGTCTTTTATCTAAGTTAAAGCTTGAATAGATTCTTTTTCTTGAGTATTTAATCTTGTTCTAATGTGTAATTTGTATTTTCTGGAATCAGATGGATGAATTCCCATACGTCACTCTCACAACTCGAGGGGTTTTTCCTGCGCCTGCGGCTTGGGAAGTGGGAAGAAGGACTTGGGGGAACTGGATACTATGTGTCTTGCATAACTGGTATAACTAGAATTTAATTTTTGCTTCTCAACTAACTTTATAGATAATCCATAGACAAAGAAGAAGATTTGAATATATTTATTAAATCAGGAAGAAGATTTGATACTAAGCTAAGGTTTTTTCTCTGTTTTCGTTGTTCGTTTTTCTTTCTCTTAACGCACAGGTTCTCAGAGAGAGACTTGTCCACAGAATGTGGACTCTATAGCTGTTGTTGTTGGGGGAATCAAATGTTTGGTCAAGAGCCAATATGTGTCAAACCATGATTTCCTTGAGGTAATTATAATCTCAGTTTCTAACCACTTGATTCAACTCGCAGTGTATGGCCCTCTATGCATTCCAACTATTAGTTTGATCAATTAGATTCCTCCAATTTTTTGGGCTTCGTTGGTTGTAACTTGTAAACATGCTTACATTTCATTGATGTTGACTATGTAAGCCCATTGTCTTCTTGGCATGTGATATTCTGGGTTGGCGGTTTAGCCCATATTAAGTCTTGCATTGTCATTGCCGATTGGTTTTGAGTTTGATGCTGTAATTCTCTTAGGTTATTAGAGGAGGCAATCTACATGTCTGGCCAATAGTCATACGTATTCCACGTCACCTAGTCTGTCATGTGTTTGGCTTTTGTGGCGCCACATATGAGAGGGTGTGTTGAGGGTATTCCATATTAGGAATGTTAAGCCTTGTTGCCAATTGGGTTTGGTTGCATGCTAGCTTTAATTCTTTCAAGTTGTATGCCAAATTACATAAGTTCATGATGTGATTGTGTCACTTTAACAAGGGTTCTGTCGTAACAGGATCTGTATTCGCCCTAGGAAATGCATGTGAAGATGTTTAAAATTTTCTTATCACCTTTCTTCTGTTTTCTTGCTGGTTACACCCCCATCATATGTTGCAGGATGAGCTGAAGGCATGGTGGTCTGCGACCTCAAAGGGCAATGGCAAGCTTCCATCTGAAGAAGATTTGAGAGAACAAGTGAAGAGAAAAACAATGTTAGGCTTGTAGTTTTAGGCATTTATTCATTCCTGGCCTGCCTTTGAATTTTGTTATGCAAAATGAAGAGTGGGGAGGGGGGTGGTTCTGCTAGACGTCATAAGTACATGATTTTTCTGAAATTTTTTTCGTTGGATATTTTTTGTGCACATGAAGGGCTATCTGCAGCTGAATCTAGGAATTGTAGTCAACTAAAGATTATATACGAAAGATTTAAAGGGTTTTTTTTTAAGGCAATGTCCTTATTATGCCGACACAATAGCTATTGGTAAGGGTTGCGCTTCCACCACATATTAGGTTCACAACTTATATATTTCTTCAAGAACTTAACACCAAACGCTCTGGTTAGCGGTACAAGCGCATTAACACGTGGATCACTTTTCTGCCAATCACAGTTTGACATGTGTGCATAATTTTTTCTCTTTATATTTTTGATAAATTATTTATACATGTGTCAAACAGTGCCCTTTAATTAGTTCATTCTTAATTAATTAGATAAAATTTTGACTGGAAAAGAGGAATTGTTTGGTGCCTGTAAGATTATTGTTTGGATAAAGCATTATTTTAGTTTGGGACAGATTATATAAAAGGAAGATGAGATAGTCAAGTTCCCAAATCTTTTGAGACATCGTGCTAATTAATTATGACACATTAGAGTCAAGTGGCTTTTTTTTACAAGTTATTCAAACAAACAAAAAACGTTAAAGTGACTTTTGATTCTGCATTTTGCTCATGGTTGTTGTAAGGTGTTTTCATTGAAAAGATTATATGCCGATGCTTGGCTCATGGGGCACAAGAATGACTATTAATAATCAAGTAATTTTTTTTGTTTTATCAATAAAGTTCTGTTATTCCATGTCGGGGTGCTCTCAAAATGGTAAAGTTTCCCTTATTTCGTCGATATTCTCTCAAAATAGTCAACTAACTTTTACAATAATAAAATTCTATCACCATGTGTGTGTATATATATAAAGAATTTTTTTTTTAAAAAGTGACTTTTGGATATGCCTAACTAGTGAACAGAGAACTTGGAAGGATGTGGAGAGAAATAAAGAGGATCTTTGGTGAAAAAATAAGCACAGTGGCAATCATTAACATCGCCATTATCACCCCAAAGCCTCCTCCTCGACCAACTTTCTTTTCAAAGCCGTACTCTGGAATCATAATTTCCAAATAGACATGAATAAATACACCATTTAAAGAGAAATTAAGAAAAAATTTCCTCAGTTAATTATTTGTTTAAGTAATTAGGATAAAATATTTAATTTGAGGAGAAGCTCTTCTCAATGATTGCAGTTATTATTTGGTTAAAGTATTGAATGTGCATTATCATTTGGCTAAAGTAGCACATCGAAGTTTACGACTGATTTCAACCGTTGAAACTTTTTCACACGTTTCATCCCCATTTGAATTAATAAACACTTAAGTTGCCTTCTAACCATCTTCTCACGCACTTGGTTGCCTTTTAAATACAAAACTTAACATTCGCATGCTGAGTTTCTAACCACTAAACTATGAATTGGTTTATTGTTTTTTTGCATACGTAAAATGGATTCCATATTACATTTGGACTAGGATTGGGCATTCAAATTGCAAAAAACAAAAACAAAACCACAAAAAGGGCGAGTCGAATTGATCTGTCTGATTTGGAGTGGGTTTTTTCTTTTCTTTTTTCCTTTAACACGCGACAAAAGTCCATTGGTACGAAATGACAAAATTTGAACAAAAAGTAATTAAGTTTGACAACAAAGTTTGGCACGTTTAAATAATTTAGCAGGTTTGATGCTCACCCTTAAAATGTTAATAAAACCAAATAATTTATGTCTCTCTTTCTCTTTTGAGTTAACTCAAAATGCCGATTACACAGTTCGCACATAAAAAAAAATTGTAAGTTGATGAAGAAGGTGTAATTGAGGACCACGTTTATCATCGTTACCAATTAATCTTTATGTGCGCATTCTTTTCTCTCCAATAAACCAATTCATACGTCACAAAATACATACGAAAGAATTGCATGTATAATCTTCTACAATTGATGATACAAAACATCTACAACCCTTCATCGTTTTTTTCTTTATGAAAATATATTACTAAGGATGGGTAATGTAGGAATGCATGCATAAAATACAACATACAATTTTAGTTGAAAAGGAAAATAACGACACAACACTATTTGAAGCAGTTGACTTGGTTTGTGACCTGCAAGTTAGAGACAGTCAACAACTACTGTCTTAGTTACAAGATAGATTGGTAGCTACATAATCCATCGACTTAAATGGAGTTAGTGCCTGCTAATTTCCTTCAAACTCAAAAAGTTCTCTAATTAAATCCATATTTTCATGACAAAAGCTTTTTGAAGATCTAAAGAAAAGTTTTTAAGTGGTGGTGATATTTAATTTAAAAGGAAAACTAACAAGCTTCTAAGAGCGTTTTCACCCATTGACAGCAGCCCTGGCAGGATAGGGCCCAAGCCCAGGGAAGTGCTTCTAGGGGGCCACGCTTGTGAGGGCAAGCTATGGGACCCACACAATAGAGTTAGCTCGTAGGCTAAACCAGCTTGACCTCTAGACTGAGTGTGCTGACGTCAACAATGACGTCAGCAACAACAAAAAAATTTAAAAATCTAAAAAAAAAACTAAAAATGTCAGAATTTTTTAAAATAAATACTTAGTCTTATTTTTCACTTTCCACACCATACAAATTCCTCTCTTTATATCTCATGTGAATAGTGATTGCCATGTCAATAGGGGTGTTTGGGAGTGGTCAAAATTCACCCAATTTGCCAAGGAAGAATTTCTAGCGACCGAGAATTCCTAGCGAGGGAGAATTCCTACCAGCCGAAGAATTCTTAGCAGTCGAGAATTCTCAGCTTGCGAGAATTCCTCAACTGAGAATTCTTAGCGACAAAAGATTTCCTAGCTGCCGAAAATTTCTAGCGGCCGAAGAATTCCTAGCGGCCGAGAATTCTCAGCGGGCGAGAATTCCTCGGCTGAGAATTCCTAGCGACCGAAGAATTCCTAAGGGCCGAGAATTTCTAGCGGCGGAATTCTTAGGGGCCGAAGTGCTTTCTCAAAAAATGTGGCTGAGGTATTTTCTTCAAAGGCAATGGTCGGACGCTTCCTTTTGCAAAAGTAGTCGAGCTTATCCTTGCAAAAGTAGCCGGGCGTATCCTTGCAAAAGTGGTCTAAAGCTTCATTCTCAAAAAGTTGGGCCAGACACTCCTTAAATACCTGGTCAGCCACTCATTACAAAAAACTAGGCCAGGGCGAATTTTCTCCTTGCGCACCTTGACGCTCTCCTCTCAACACTTGGGCAAGCAAAGTCGGGCAAATGGAGTTGAAGTTCGGCGGGAGGTATGTTCGCCGAGTTCCTAATATTCAAATATTTGAGAACTCAAATATAGTCCAACGTAGGGCCAAGCCCAACATCCAAATATTTGGAGTTCCCCCCATCTTGTCGAATGGTAAGCCAATTCTAGAATTCTAAAAACTCAAGGGGCACAAGGTTCCACCAGATGTCAAGATGAAATCTCGAAGGTCAAGACCTAAGCCACGGATTCACGCTCAAGATTTCTGGAGGTCAATGTGCATGTGATGGAGGCCTCACAAGGAAACAAATCAAGGAGATTGATGATAGTTCAGCATACTTCAAAACATGAGAGAATCAAGCAATCAGAATATTTCCACCAATGTGATCCCACGAATTCAAAGGGCTTCAAAAGGAAAGAGTTTTAAAAGAGTTGATATTTGGTCATTTAATGGCCAGCCCATGGGCTGACGAATGCCCTATATAAACCTCACCAAACGAAGACAGAATACACACAACATCGGACATACAAACTTATCTTTCGTCTCGCACTTTTCTTTTCATAGACTTATGATTTTACTTTTTATACACCTAGTGTAGCGAGTTCTTCCTTTTCTTAGTGTAAGTTTAAATTCTCGTTCAATTTATATTTTGTTGTCATTTAAATTCAAGTTTATTTCAATTGCTTTACTTTTCATTGTTATCGCACTTCAATTAAGTTTAATTTCAAGCTGAGAACAATCGTTTGATTAAAGTCAGATATCGGATGCAACATATCCATCTACTCACATTCTATTTAAGCCCAAATTCGGGACTTGGTGGTGGCAAGCCCCTCACTCAAAAGAAGAAGGACCAAAAGTTCCTTCTGTGTGCCACTTCGGCCGAAAAGAAAGAAACAACGTGGAAATACCACAAATTTTTACAATGGCCGCTACTATTCACATGAGTAGTAATAGTCCTGACCTTTGGCTGCCTACAAACTAGCCAGGTTTCTTAGGACCCGCCTCTTGTCCAGACAAGTTTGGCTTGCTGGAACGCGCAGCCTAGGCTTGGGCCTGTCCTGCCCTGGCTTGGGCAACTAGTGGAAACGCACTAAGGAAACAAGATGGTGTATTTGGTGGTGGACAAGTTTCAACTCTGAATCCACATCTACTGATCAATCATCATCACGATTTGATTCAATATCAGATGGCATCAACTCCATTATTGCTTTGTTTTCATTCTTTATTATTTCTCTATTTGCATTGGATTTTGACTTCTTGTCCGGCTTCCGGTGAAGGTATTTGGCAACATCCATGCTTTAAGATATTATACAGATTAAACACGTTGACAATACTATATCATTTTATTTGGCCTTATTGATTCAAAGGAAAAATGGTGATCACCATATTCCTGAGAATTTCTGAACCGATGACTGGAATGAGTCACATAATTATAAGCTTTTGGTTTATATTGTTCCAAAATTATTAATTTTTTTTTTCATTTTAAAATAACAAAACTAAAATCTAACTCGGTTAGGAGAAATTCTTAGATTCGATTATCGGACCACATGACTCTCGTGGGCAACAATCATATTTATTTTCTCAATGTTGAAAGATATTTACTAAAAAGAAAAAAGAATCAAATTATTGTGATAGAAATAGAATAATATATATCATGACCCACATTTTGTAAAGGCGGCCCCTCGTTGTCAAAGTCATTAAAAAAACAGCAACAAATGCTCAATCCCGTCGAGTGAGTCCAATCAAAGCTGTGTGCCTTATTCCCATCAAAGCCAAAGCATTTCTCTCGCCCAAACTATACTCAATTTGCTCTGAGTTTCAACAAGATGCAGCAGCACCATGGTAAGCCTTAAGCCAACCCATCTCTCTCTCTGCTGTGTGTTACAACAAGATGCAGGACCGCCATGGTGAGCCTTAAGCCAACCCCTCTCTCTCTCTCTCTCTCTCTCTCTCTCTCTCTCTCTCTAATATCAAAATTCTGTTTGATGATATGTTTTTAGATGTTGGTGGGTATGCCAAGGTCAACCTCACAATGCGCATCTTATCTGCCTTCTTTGTTGGGCTCGTGGCTGCCGCGGCCGCAGCCGCCACCAGTAGCTATCGCCGGAAAAAGTCGTCCAAGGCGTTGAGAGCCCCAAACAACATCTCCCCACCACGGATAGACAGGACAGAATCCGGCCGTGTCGGAAATATCGAGAGATTCTCCCATTATGTTGGTAATGTTATATCATGTAGGAAAAACCTTAGGTAGCTTATTGGATTTTACTCACAAATTTCATCTATTTTTTGTGTGGTAATTATTGTCATGAACACACAATTATTTCAAAAAATGCATTAAATTTATTTATTTATTTTTAAATTTGTTTGTGCAGCTAGGCAACTGGGAATTTTAGATGCAAATGAGTGTCCCCAGCTATGCAAGTTAGCTTATGATTACTTGAGAAAATCCAAAGGGTGTGAAGATAGCATCTATGCATATCTGGCTTCAGAAGCAGATGCAGATTCTCTCTGCATAAGTTTAATGCAAGAATTTGAAAGATGCATCCTCACTTATTTTGCATTTCATTGGAGTCAAGCTACTCTTATGATATCTCAGGTAAATATTTTTACTTTCTTATTCTAGCACATTTGGGTTTCTTTTCTTTTCTATTTTATTATTTATTCACCTTCTTTTTATATTCTTTTTCTTTATCTATCAACTTCTCCATGGCTAACTTGCAGGTTTTGAATGTAGAGACTAAGAAGAAAACGAAGCTCAAAGACCTAGTATTGACAGCTACCAGGTTACTTTCTCTTACAGTTATTTCCTTTACTTATAGCACATAAATATATTTTCCTTTTTTCAAATAAAACTATTCCTCCTATTCTTCTTGATAAAAGAAAAGTACAAAAAATAGATTAAATTGAGCAAAATGTATCCCAACTAATTAAGTCGCCACTAGGATTTCACTGAGGCTTTTGCCTTTGCTCCACTAGCCCTTGCTCTATTTGCAAGGAATAGACCACATATATTTCAACCGTAGAATTATGACTTGTATCGAGCCACTTACGCTAACAACATCAACAAATATTTTTCGTTTTTTTGTACCCTCTGTTTTCAATAATCCAATATCGAATTGCGCTTAGAAAAAATCAAAATTAAGAAAGAAAAAAAGGCAAAACCCAGCCTCTGCCTTCGTCCTCTCAATAGTGGACCTGGAAATGATGCCAGGGAAGTCGCCTACTTTGGATAAACAAACCATTTTTGGCCTATCTTTTTAAGAATTTTGTACTTACAACAACGACAAGCCTTTCATCTCTACTTTATTAAAGAGGAAGTAAAGTAAGCCAATAATGAATGGATAAGTCTCTCTGAGATGCGTTAGTGACTTCCACCAACTTTGTTTTTAATAGTTTCCGTATTTATCCCTTACACTTCAGTTATTGTGTTTGAATTCTCCGCTCTCAATTTTTTTTTTAAATTTATTTATTAAAAAAAAAAAAAAAAAACTTAGCCCTCCAAGAAAAAAACAAAAGAATGACACAATAAATATTTCAATAAAGACTAAGGCCGAGTCGTTTTCATGTACTACTCATTGTGGTCAGAAAATCAGTACTTGAACACACAAAAGATATGTCGACCCGATCTACTAACATATGACAACAAACGCATCTGTTGGGAACTGTCAGATTTGGACACATTAGCAATGGCGATTATGAATTTTCCTTTTAGAAATACTACGCGCATACGCTAACTCCCTCCATAGGGTGGATGGATCCTACAAAAGTCATACATGATTTTACAATTTCTTCGTAAAATCCAAGTCATGTGAGAAAGTTATAATTTCTTCGTAAAATCCAAGTCATGTGAGAAAGTTGAGATAAATGTTGTATTTTTTTCCCATCAAAACAATAGTTGTGTTGAAAGAATACAAGTAGATGGAAGGAGCTCAAACCATTAACCTAGCTTATAATTCTTACATATATCCCCCCACCAATTGAGCCAAACCCTGCGGGTTTCAGCACGTACCAAATTAACTTGTCGTATAAGTGTGTATGTGTAACATTTTAGAAAGGGAAAAAGAATATTTTGCAGGTGTTAGGAGAATATTAGAAATTAATGAGACTATTTTATATCATTTGTGCCTAATCTTTGGGACTGTATTTGACTTTGGTTTCATAGGAAGCAGAGATTTGAGAGGATCAGCAAGGAACTAAAAGTGACAAGGGTGTTCTCTACGTTGGTGGAGGAAATGAAAGCAATAAAGGCAGAATCACAATGTACGGACGTGATGGTGCCGGTGGCCCATAGTGAGAGGAGCCCCGTGCTTCTACTTATGGGTGGTGGGATGGGCGCTGGCAAGAGCACTGTGCTCAAAGACATTCTCAAAGAGTAATACTTGGGGGTCATATTATTTATTGATGATGTAGTAGTTAATGATATTGATTGAGTGTGCTAATTAGTCGGGCATATATATGCAGGCCATTCTGGTCAGGAGCAGCAGCAAAGGCTGTGGTTGTTGAGGCAGATGCTTTCAAAGAGACAGATGTGATTTACAGAGCCCTCAGCTCTAGAGGTCACCACACTGACATGCTCCAAACTGCTGAATTGGTAAATCTCTCTCATGTCATCTCAGAGATTCATTATAAGATTAACATGTATCAACAATCATTCACTACGGCTATGTTATTATATATCTGTTACATGGGAAGTGAAATATGAAGACATCTTATGCTATGTAAATATGTGTTACCTTTTGCTTCACACACAAGATATGATATGAGAAACTATGAAATATTGTAGAAGAGTAATGTTAAGGGGATCAAAATTTCGGAGTACATAAATTCGTCGAACAATGTAACAGTTGATGTATTAATTAACAATTAATCATATTACTAAATGAATTACATACATCATAAGGACTAGCTATTAATTTAGTGATATTTCTCCTTATTTGCGGCATCCCATTATAGAAGTCAAGTTATCTTATTTCATGAAATGACTGATTAACCAACACAGGTGCACCAATCATCAACTGATGCTGCATCATCGCTCCTAGTGACTGCACTCAACGAAGGACGGGATGTGATCATGGATGGCACCCTGTCGTGGGCACCCTTTGTTGAGCAGACAATCGACATGGCCCGGCACGTTCACAAATGCCGGTACCGGATGGGAGTTGGGTACAAGGTGGCTGAGGATGGCACCATTACTGAAAACTATTGGGAACGAGTGGGTGAAGAAGAGGATCTTCATGACCAGCTGAAGATTAATAGTGGACAGGAACCCAAGAGAAAACCATACAGAATTGAGTTGGTTGGAGTTGTTTGTGATGCTTATTTAGCTGTTGTTAGAGGCATCAGAAGAGCTATAATGGTTAGGAGGGCAGTAAGGGTGAATTCACAGTTGCAATCCCACAAGAGATTTGCTAGCGCTTTTTACGGATATTGCCAGCTTGTTGATAATGCCAGGCTCTACTGCACCAATTCTATGACTGGCCCTCCTATGGTAAGTCTCGTAACTCCTAACTTATCGAGACTATATTTTTATACACATTTGTCTCATTACTTGACGAGAGACTTGATGTGTTAATGATTATTTTTTATGTTAGTACACGTTAATTGTCACATCCTGTGATCAGCTAGCTAGCTAACGTGAGCTATATCGTGCGTATGCATACAATGAAATTTACTGACTAGGATTTGTGTGTAAATATGCAGCTGATAGGATGGAAGGATGGAGTCAACAGGCTACTGGTAGATATTGAAGAAATCAAATGCTTGACAAACTTAAGCAGTTTGAATTCTGATGCAGAATCCATATACGAGCTTTATATGCAGAACCCAAGCCTTATACTGGAGCCTGGTTCTTGTTGGAAAGACTTTGTTTTGTCCCCTTCAAGGCCAAGCCTTCAGCAGAAGCTAAGAGCTGTCATTCAGAAAATTGAAATTTCAAGGACGCTAACAAATTAGATTGATCCATGTTTGCGTCTTTATTTGAAATTCTGTAAATGGAAAATTTTAAGAATGGATTGGACTTTTATACACATTTCTGTGACAGGTTTGTTTAAAGAAAAGAAAAAGGAAGAAAATAATTCAATAACACTAACAAAACCGTACCATACATAAAAAAGGAACAAACAAAATAAAACCACGCAAATGAAATAAAATGCTACTTTGTCACACACGCAAAAAAGAAAGAATGATAGTAAGAAGATGATCACATTTTTATCCAATGGGGAAAAAAGATCGACCAATATATTTGAGATAAACGGATGCTATTAACAGTTTATCACTTAAGAAACTACAAAGAGTATGAATCCCACATGAGGGAATTGAAGCCTTGCTTAATACTATAAAACATCTTCGACCTCATCACTCATTCCCAATTCGTTTTGAATAGCCAAATTATTCGAGCATTATACAAGTATGTACATTTTTTTCACGAATAATACATACGTATTTTTGCATATTGGGCAATAACAAACGTACTATTGAAAAAATTATTATATAACAGCCCAATCTTTTACCATATTCTTTTTAGAAAATTTCCAAATAAATTGACCCCCCAAAAAAAAAAAAAAAAAAAAAAAAAAAAAGACTCCAAGGATTTGATTTAATTAGAGCCCAGTTCCTTGCCCCATGATCAGCCCAATAACCGAGCCCAATTTAAATCTCGTTCTAGGGCTACTCATACCCAGAGCACCACCACCCAATCGATAGATATAAATTCAGCTTGCAAAACCTCTTGCTTCTCGAAAACCCTAGCGGCCACAGATCCAAAGGTTTTTGAGCTTTTCTCCCACCTAGTGTTTCCGTTTCCGAAAGCTCCACAACCATGGTAAAGCTCCAACTCCACACTCTCTGTGAATCGCGTCATTTCACTCTTAATTTCTCTCTGTTAACTCTCTGTATGTTATCTGGGTTTTCAGGCGGACGTTGAGACCGATGTGGCGGCAGCTGGAGTTCCCAAGAAGAGGACGTTCAAGAAGTTCAGCTTCAGAGGTGTCGATTTGGATGCTCTTCTTGACATGTCGACTGATGAGCTTGTCAAGCTCTTCCCTGCCAGAGCTCGCAGAAGGTAAAGTATTTCATTAGAATCACTCGATAAAATCTGTTTTTGTGCTTTGTTGTTGGTTTTGTGAATTGGGTTTGAGTTCGTTGGTTTGGATTTTATGTGATGAATAGGTTTCAGAGGGGTCTCAAGCGCAAGCCCATGGCTTTGATCAAGAAGCTGCGCAAAGCGGTAATTTTCCTGAAGCTATTAGTTGAAAAATGTTACATATTTTGTGTTTGGATCTTGTATTTAGTTGGGTTATGTGATTTTTGATGATTGATGTGTTATTGTGAATGAGATGTGTTTGTTATTTTCGCCTTTTCATTTTTCTCCAAGTAATCAGCCAAAATTCATACTTAGTATTCAAAGTTGTGATCTAATAACGGTTTTGATGTATTATAGTTGATGGTAATGTCTGTCCTGAAGTTGCCTCCCATGCTCAAGCATATGTGCAATGCATCAATTTCTATCAAAATTGATTTTTCTTAGTGCAAATGATTTGTGTTATGAAAGTATAAACCAAGTATTACTGTTATTCCATATATGCTTGGTTTCATTTTGATTATTAAATATGGTATTGTGTTGGTTTGCCCGCCCATTCTTCTTATTACGTTCATATAAGCTTTGTGCTGAATTTTATGCTCACTGTAGAAATAAATTGTATGCTCAATGTGGTAGTTTTAAGGGCCTTAAAAGTCGTAGTAGGAATGTGAAAGGGTGCTGGCAGGGCAGTATGTAAGTTGTGATTTGTTAGGCCCTGCTGTTTAAAAAATTGCAATGGATCTAGCGAAAACCAAATTGAACTAATTTTTGAGTTAAATTTACTTTAGAAAATTCATTGTTCTCCCATCATTGAATTTACATTGAGCAATATTTCGACTGATGGATTGGTAACTTTTATGCACTTGTTGGTAGTGGAACTTGTATTTGTGGGTTTATATAAATAGGAATTTCACTTGAATGCCAGTGTTTTTTATTGTCTGGATTAATGGCTGGTGACAGACGAGCATTGATGTTGTAAAATACTATTTTGGTGTCAGAATCAAGTATTTTTGTTCCTTGTTCCTCCTGAGTCTTCTTGCCGGTGGTTGTATTGGCTGATGAAAGTTTGTTGCTAATCACGAGTTTTTTGTTGCTTGGAACAGAAAAGGGAGGCTCCACCCGGTGAAAAGCCAGAACCAGTCCGCACTCATCTGCGTAACATGATTATAGTGCCAGAAATGATTGGAAGCATTATTGGTGTGTACAATGGTAAGACCTTCAATCAGGTTGAAATCAAGCCTGAAATGATCAGCCACTACCTTGCTGAGTTCTCAATCTCATACAAGCCTGTCAAGCACGGTAGGCCTGGTATTGGTGCCACCCACTCTTCGAGGTTCATTCCTCTTAAGTGAGATCCTTTCCTGCTGTCTAGATATCTAATCGTGTTGTTTCTGAAAACTTTGATGCCGATCAAATTTTTGCTCATTACTATTCAGTTTTGTTTATGTTTCGACTTGCGTTGATTACGCTTTAGATGGAAGTTAAATTTACAGTTGGGGTTTCAGACGAATGATCTCAATTTTCTATTTAATGTATGAGAACTGGAATTTAAATCTGTGTTTCGTTAGTCACAACTTATATCATATTACATGATGTGTGCATTTAGAGGCATCAATGTGGTTAGGAGGTTTTGATTTGCTAGCCAATTACGAGTTTGTGTAAGCTGCCAGTTTGTATTGATTGAAACCCATTAGAATTGACGCTACTCTCTAGAACGCATTAGAATGGAACATGATTTATATGAAGATATGGAATTGGGAATCAAATCAGTGAAAACTTGGCTCACGAGACGAATTCTATTAACGGTGGACTTGGCCTCTGAATGAAGGCATTAGGATTCAAAGCAACAAGCGGTTTTGTTATTTAACCTTGCCAAACCATGATATTAATTAAGGGCTGCTTGTTTGGGAGTGAATTTGGATAGGTTAAAAATCACTTTTATAGAGAATTACTTCTCTATACAAATATTTTAAGTGGTTTTAAGTGATTGTATGGAGAAGTAGGGTCCTATTTAAAATCACTGCCAAATGATGTTATAAGTACCAACACTTGAATTGATGGGGTTCTCCATATGAATTTAACACATTTTACCAAATTTTACCCTAAAGAGGTCATGGCAATAGACTGGTCAATCTGACAACGCTGCGTTCTTAGTCTTCTCACAATGAGGATAAAATAGAATCTCCATTTTGGACTGCCAATTAGGCTGTAGTTTCCCAGTCTCCTCCTCTTCAAAGCTTCATTTGGTCTATAGCATTTTTCACTCCCCATGTAGACGTTGTTTTTGCAGCTTGATTATGTCAGCCAAACTTAAAAGGGATGCAAAATGGCCGACTTTGGAAATTATTGTATGATACTGAAACGTGATTAGAACCGATTTTCCACACCTGATCCTGAAAGAGTGGACACACTTAATATGATGGGGAAATTTCAAGCCAGTTTCCACCCCTATGTTGGGGCCTCTTTTATCATTAGTTTATATTTTGTTTCACCTAATACAAATAGCTCATCAGCCATTCATATATTATTACGCCATCTATATCTTATCCTCGTGCTCAATTAGAGTATAATAATATAGTTTCATGCTTGGCAGTATAGTCAAATTTTCAATCCACTAAGAAACAAAAATGGATCCATTTATTTTCATTTTCACCCCAAGTCCAATACCATAGTTTACAATACTAAAGGTCAAAAGTGAAGCCAACTGAGCTGACTTTACGCTAGCAATCAATCAGTGCTGCTTTTCTTGGGGAAAGAATTCAATGGATCTTCTTCCCTTCACCTGCCTGGAATTGAAAACCGAAGTTTCCTCTCAGCTTCATAGAGGGTTTCTTGCAAGGCCTCTTCTATCTCCGC